CGTTTTCTTTTTGATATGATATTTTGTATTTCATACAAAGTATAATGTACGAAGATGCTGGAATTTTTTTACAATACATCTGAATTATTAACAATTGCGTTACACTATTATACATAACAACTGCGTAAAAGGATTAACGCTCGAAAGCGCAACGATGTTTCTTCCCATGCGTGCCACAAATTTTAAGTGGTTAACAATAAAGCAATTCCCGCGCGGCCTTTAAGAACCTCTGCGAATTATAAACGCCCTGGTAAGCATTCGACGAAATACAAGCTTCGTATCCTACCGCCTACGCTATACGCGGAATAACTAATAAAATTTTTCGCGCTGAATTATATGAATTACGCCAACCTGCAAAATTAATCCCCGAACAAATCTCGTATCTAGTTTTAGTAGACTGCTCTATAAAAAGAAATGTATAATATAAAACAATATATAATATATAATAAAAATATATAATATATAATAATATATAATAAATAATATATAATAAAAAATATATAATATGTATAATAAAAACAATATGTAATATTAAAAAATTATATATATATAAAAGAAGGAAATAACTTTTTTCCACTACTTATCAAAAAAATTGTTCGGAAGAAACAAGTATAATTCACATATATATTTGATAAATTCCGAACACATTTTCACCTGTGGGAAAAAGTGATAAATTTTAGAGCGAACAAGCGGAGAGATGTAAAACTTGTACGCAGCCGTGAGTTAGGTTTAAGGAACTGTTGCGAATTATGAATGCCCTGATAAGCATTCAACGACGCAGGAGTCGACAGTGAGCGAGCGGCCGGTCCGTTTACGCGGAATATTTTCGCACGGCTCGAAAGAGAGGTAAATGTGTATTGTGTCTGGCGGGAGTGTGCTCTGCCGGATCAATTATGCTAGTCTCCCCTAACGCGCCGCTCGCTCGCTGCTCCTGCACCGTGTGCCTCTTGCCTCGCGAGCGAACGTAACGGTTAGCAGCGACGAATGTGCATCCGACGTGCAGACTGCACCGAGCGAAACTTCCGCGCTGCCTCGTCTATAGTTGATAAGCCCCCGCGCGTCGGTGGTCGCACTCTTTTTGAATTAAATATCGAAACATATAGCCATCCCCGCACGTGCTGTCAACTTTTTTTTTCAAGGAAGATTCCTGAGAGAATCAACCGAACTTTCGAGCGATATATAAAGTCGGAGATATTTGCGAGACTTTTTGCGGAAATAGAGACAGACGCGATAATGATTTATGGCAACCGTATACCGTACGTTACCGTTATATTTAGAGAAGCGTGAATGATAGTTCGCGTGAGCTTTTATATTTTTATAGTTTATTCCTTCGAAATGTTTTAGCTCTTCTATTTTTCTCGAAATTAATTTCTCGTAACGAATTAAAAAATTTACTTAAAATTCTGGCTAATAATTTAGATTAAATTTGATTTATCATTAATGATAATATTATACTAAAAAAATTAAATTATGTTCAGAGATATATTAAAAATAATATACGTTTATATATTTTACGAATACTAAACAGTCTTTTTCAAAGCCAACCACAGTAAACAGTCTTATAACCACAGTAATCTAAACGACACGATTATATCCTGCTAGCACGTACGTATGCCAAATGATCGATGCAATGTCACATATATAAACAATTACAGGATCAATAAGAAAACATAGATATATCGCTGACGTCAATTTTGGAGCTAATATTTCTGCTCTTCGTTTACTCAAAAATACTGGCTTCATCTTCGAAGTTCGCGATTCATAAAACAAGATTTTATCTCTAAATATTAGGAAGAGCACATAAACACATACATTATTGCTTTTCCCAATGCTCTCCGACATTTATATATAAAATACTTTACGTATATAACTTTATCAAAAGCCTTAGTATTTTAAAACAATCATCTTTTTTTAATTCTAATATATATTATTATTATTTAAAAAATACTTCCTTTCTTTTTAATTTAAAAAATTATAAAGAAGTTCGCGATTCATGAAACAAGATTTTATCTTTAAATATTAAGAAGAGCACATAAACACACACATTATTGCTTTCCCCAATGCTCTCCGACATTTATATATAAAATGCTTTACGTATATAACTTTATTAAAAGCCTTGGTATTTTAAAACCACCATCTTTTTTCCACACAATTCTAACATATACTATTATTATAAAATACTCCCTTATTTTTTAATTTAAAAAATAGTAAAGAAAGAATATAAAAAAATGTTTGCATTTTAGGAATTTATAAGTGACTGTGAGGAACATTTTGCCAATGAAATTGTCTTATTAAAGCGAGTGTTCTACCAATTCTGTACACAAATTTAGTCGCTTTTTATATAAAAAATTTTTTTTTACTTGGCAAAAAGTAGCTCGGTGTTTTAGAAATTAACGCGAACCGCGTTTCTCTCTCGTGACGCCACTTCGAGCTTCCGTTCTTCGATTACGCTAACGAGAACGTAACCCGCTCGCGTTGGGAGTTCGCGAGATTTTTGGTCTCGTTCTACATGTCGGGAACAACATAATACGTGGTGAAAGGAAGTGCCGTCTTGCGGCTCGATCGGCGGCTTGATGTCCGTTATTATCCGCCCGCTCGAAAAAATTCGGATGGCACGTGATAGGACATCCTTAGAAGCGACTTCGAAGAAAGCCTGATATTATTCTTTCGATACTCTTTACTTTTTGTCATCTTCATGGAATTGCCATATCCTACATCTCTTAGAAATTAAAATTGTCGACGCAAAAAAATTATCATGTATACAGAATAAAGAGCAACTTAATAACGCATAAAATTTTAACGGTACTATTTTATGCTTCGAAAAGTTTTTCTTAGAATATTCAACATCAAAATACGTAACATCCGTAAATACGTACATGCATAAATATACATGCATAGAGCTTTGAAAAATTTATACGGATTAAATGAAAAATTAATCTTCGCCATTTGTTTCTTCAAATTTAAAATTTACAAAAATTGTTGAATATTGTTTTGAGCTTGTAATTTAGCAACAATTTATCTTCACATTTTAATTAAAAAGCAATCTGTTTTAATTTTTGAGAATCTATTCGAAAGAATCAAACTCGCGCGGAAATATTAGAATATTTCTTGTATATTTACTACATACATTATAATCTCGATTATAATCTCGACAAATCATTGCGTAAACAACCTCACACATCGCGAACAATTCGAAAGTATTACAAAGCATAAAAGAAGGTATCGAAATCTCGACAAAAAAGGAAAACAAATATAACGAGGTCGTCGAAGACAGAAAGAGACCTCGTGCGAACCGCGGAAGAGAGCTTTGCGAATTTTCCCCTACATGGGAGCGAGTTCGGATGTACAAAAGACCGGTCGATGACGAAAAGGGTGAACATTGATCGGGCCCACGCGCGATTATCGTGCCTCGATCGGAATCGCATCGCCGCACGGTACGATTGGCCGCGTGACAGCGATCGCGGACAGAGACGTACGAGCGAGCTCGAGCAAGCGAGAAGAGAGAGAGAGAGAGAGAAAGAACGAGGACGAAACAATGGAAATCGAAGATATAAAGAATAGAAGAAATATCTCGAGATATTTCTGCGAGAGATCTCTCCTCTCGAGGTGAAGTATCAAGAGAGAAAGAGAGACGCGGAAATAAACGGAAATGAATAATCGGGAATGAAGGAAAGAAAGGAATTTCTCGAAGCGAAATAAGGCAAGCCGAGAGCGAGAGGGAGGAAGGTGCGAGACGAAGCGACTGCAACAGCGACGAGAGGGAGAAACGCGCGCTTAAGCTTAAGACATACATACGTAAAATAATCTAGGGATATTCTCGCACTCACCGTCGGTCCTCTGGATGTTTATGTTGTGGCCGACGTCGATGTTGCACGTACCGTGATCCATGGTCATTTAATCGGTCTCGCACACCGCGTTCGGCACCATAAAACGCGCCCGGCTTCTTCCGTTACTAGCACCGTGCAACGGGGTCTCGCACGCGGCCGATTAATCGGCTCCGAGCGAGAGGAAGAGAGAGAGAGAGAGAGAGAAAGAAACGAGGGACGAAGATGAAATCGCGCGACGACGACGGTTGACAGTTAACGGCAGCGTTCAAACTCGCGCGGCGGCCGGTCGAACTTCTCCGTCTCTCTCTTCCCTCCTCTTCGCTCCTCGACGACGAAGCTTTCCTTTCTCTCTCTTTCTCTACGCCCTAGGTCGCTAATCCCCGATCTAGGAACGGCGCTCTCCTCTAGACTTCAAGGCACGCCCGATATGTATCTAGTCGCGGTTCCCGTTCGTCTCCTGGCCGATCGTTCGCGCCGCGTCGTCGTCGTCCCCGTCGTCGTCCTCGAGATGGCAAGAGAGGCTCGGAGAGCAGCGTGAACGAGCGTGCACGCACACACACACACACGAATACGTACGTCCGCGAATCAGCCGAATCGTATCCGCGGCTTGGCCGTTGGAGTATCTATCTCGCGCCGAGAGGACGACAGGACGACCGTTTGCTTTCGTGCCGGGATACACTGCCAGTGTCCGTTATTGACAACGGAAGAGCTGCGAGGGCGCCAGCTCCCGGACGGCACGCGCCGATCGTGCCGACATCTGTCGGCGCGACGTCATTGGCGCGACGTGCAAATGACAGCGTCGATGACATCTGGGCTTCGCTCGGCGAAATGAGTACTGAACCTTCCGGATAAAACAGTAAACTTTATTTTTACGCACGTTTTCATACCATTTGCTCGTTTTAGGATTCCGGATTTTTAGATAATATTTTTAAAAAATAAAAATTCTTAAAATCTAGAAAGTTTTAGATTTAGGTTTTTTTTAAATTGTAATTCAACGTTGTTTTATAAAGTATCGATTATTATATTGAGGACGAAAATCCTCGGAATATTGAAGAAAATTATTAACTATATTAAAAAAGTTTTTGTCGTCTTTTCTATGAGAAATTAAATTGAAATAGTTCTTATCGTTAAATATCTAAATAATTCACTGTAATTTCTTCTTTCTTAAAATTTCCGATTTCAATATTCCTTATTTTTTTACAATTTGTTGTTGTTCCGTGACTTGACGAACCAACGATTTCAACTCTTCCAGATCAAAATTCTTAGATTCCAATAATCGTTCAATGATTCTCGTTGCTCTAAAAATACATAAATCACACGATTATTATTATACACTCACAACTGCAACAAATAAACTTAATTTTTGATCAAAAGTGTAAATATTTTATTATATCAAAATATAATTCTCACTTGTCTCTCTCTTGGCCTGCAGCTTCTGGTAGTCGTGGAGGTAACTCGTCAACTTTAAATTTTTCATACACCTGAGAAAAGTCCTCGACTTTTAGTGACTTTCATGATTAAATAATCAAATGTTATTAAATTATTTTACTTCACACATGTGAGAAATTTCTTCAACAATTACCTCTAATGCTCGCTTGACAATTCGTTCATCCAAACCCGCACTTCGCGCAGCTACATGTGCGAAACTACATGTCGCGTGTCCAGAAGTTATACGATAAAGATACGCCACGGAACCGTTGTTGTTTGTGACAAACTCGAAAGTCTATATAATAAAAATTTAATTATTAAGTACAAGTAAATAAAAATAAAAATGTAATAAATAAATAAATAATTAAAGTAATAAAATGAAATAAAAGATGCATATTTTACCTGTTCCTCGATTATCGGATTTTGCGGCAACATGCTCATTATTCGATGCATATGCGTGGCCACAAAAACGTGTGGGCAGTAAATACCGCGCTCGACAAAATTATTTAATACAGCTGCGAGCAATGACAAGCCACTCACCTCGGACGTCCCGTTTCCGAATTCGTCTAAAATGACGATAGAATTTGGCGTGGCCGCGTAGAGAGCGGAGTTTATCTACAAGATCGATAAATGATGAGTTCATTGAAAAATAGTACTTACACTTAACAATATATTTGCTCCTTTAAATAAATTTTTCAAGTAATCTTTTTTGAAAAATGCTATTTATACCTGTCGCATATCTTGCAAGAACATGCTCGCATTTAGAGCAATGCTGTCCACGGACGTAATTTGGGTCAGGATATGAGTCACTGTTCCTATAGTGGCCGATTTAGCCGGTACATAGCAACCGATGTGAGCCATAAATACAATAAGTGCAATTTGTTTGAGATATGTGCTCTTGCCAGAAGCATTCGGACCGGTCAAAATTTTTATGCGGCTCTTTTCGTCTCCGGAATAGGTGTCATTTGGAACGAAGGTTGTTAGAAATTCCTGCAACGGGTGACGACCTTGTTCCACAGCTATAATCTGGCGTTCCACCATATTCGGCTTTATGTAATTGTATTCTCGAGCAACTACATAAAATGCCAACAACCTGATAAAATAATTGAGGTGCCCAAAATTTTATCTAACGACCTATCTAAAGTTTCTTAAAATTTTAAACTGTTTTGATCTTTGATCTTTTTCTTACGATTTATATTATTATAATTTCACACAATTCTTTTTCATAAAAAAATCAAAAAGTATCTAATTCACTCACGTGTCTAATTCAGCGCACAATTGAATCGCATTAAAGATTGATGCGGCATGTTTATTTATATATTTCACGAGCTTCAGTATAATATAACTCTCTCGCTTGTTGATCCTTAATAATATATCTCCTACAGTATTGTCTAATTCTGGAACCGAGCAAATAAATGATTTATGCATAAAAAAACGATATTTTTCAAGCTACTGCACGTGTACATATATTATTAGAAAATTATATAACAATAAAAAACCTTTAGCACTGGGACTTTTATAATAACGTATATTATTGCTAACAAATTTGAATTCTAAATTCTCCAAATCCGCATTGTCGGCTGGTGATGGATTCCATCCAGTTATTGCTAAGAGATATCCAATATTCGGTATGTATACCATCTTGCAGGTTGTCACCGATGGTGGAAGATAATCTTTCATATCTTTCTCTCCCATTCGTGTCAGGGTCTCGGATAAAGTGCCTCTTATGTGATGCACTGCATTTATAATGGAAACATGATATACAAAATTTAGACGGTTGAGTGCACAAGTGCAACGATGTAATTTTTGGAATATCATTTGGAATATCATTTCCGATTCAAGAATTTCAATTTTTTTCGTAAAAAAGAAATATTTATCTTGAATTGTGCGAAACAGATCAAAATTAGCTTACATTTATCCAAGTGTGAATCCACGTTTGTTCGGACGATGAAATCGTTTTCGGATTTCTTTGAGCTAAAGTCCACTATATATTCGATAAAATATTTGACGTAACGTACTTCGTTCGTGATACTATCGACGATTTTACGAAACAGTTTTACTTTTTCATGGCGTTTTTCACATATATCGGCGATATAAATTATGGAAGATATCGTCTAGGTGAAATATAAAATAGAATGTTAAATAAACATATAATAAAAACATAATAATTATGAAATTATGTCGTGAAAAGAGAAATTTAATAAACCTTGTGCAATCGTCGCCAATCAGAAACTTTAGCTTGCTGCGCTAAATATCGATCCAGAATAACATTAGTCAAACGATAAATGTGTTTCAAACATGACATTAAATTTTCGACAATACTCTGGTTATCTGGATTAAGGCAAAACTCGACGACTTCGAATCTTTGATTAAGAATTTCGATGTTTCTTGTGGGATGTCGCAATGTTCTCCTACAATATATACATAAGTCTTTATTTAAAATATTACTTCATATAATGAAACGTTATATAAAGTATAATAATTATATAAAAAAATACAACAACAATGTGGCCATGAATACTTGCCACAAATATTGCGCTCCGGGTCGCGATTGGCAACGGCTCAGAAGGATGAATAAGCTACCACTTTGTTTTTTCGATGCCGCATCACCACACTTGAAAAGACTCGGATGATGTCTGGCGTGCACGATATTTAATGCCTCGTAAGTATCGTCATTTATCATGACAATGTCACGTCTACATCCCAATACACAGTAAAAGAATTAGCATATATTGTGAAATATAATCGCATCTCGTGGAAAAATATTCATATAAAAAAAATGTATAACAAAATCGAAAAATATAAATTTAAATTGCGATAATACAATTTATCCATTGTTAAAAAAATATAATTGCGAAGAAAGATTTAATTCGACAAGGAATCAGAGATGTTTTTTTTTTAATAAAAAACGATTCTCAGAAAGTTTTCAGTGAATTAAATTCCATGATTGTATCAAACATCTCATGTCTAACAATAAGATATTAGATCCCAACGTGAAGTCAGAGAGACTCACAATGTTATGCTAGTTAAAGATACGAAACTAGGTCTGCCGGAAGGATCCAACGCGATATTGCTCCAATGTTGATCAATGTAGATCAAGAGTAAACCCAGCGTATGTATCATGACGATCGATTTGAAATTCAACAGGCCCTGAAGAAAGATAAGTCTCTCGACGTTGTTGGCGTTTGCCGGCTCCGACTCGAGCTTGAGACATCGAACTCTGTGATAGCATCTGTTGAAGCCGTATTCCCTCTTCCGCATCACCCTCAGCGAGACCTGCGTCAGCCCCGCACTGCTCGTTCCCGGTGATCTGTTCAATTCGCTTGACGTTTCCGACGTTATCAAAGTCTCGAGCGCTGCAAGAAACTCGTCGGACGTACCGGAGATCGTGACGACATAACGCGGTTGACATTGCTTATACAGTGTCTTGGTGATGTTAAAATGAATATTGTCATCGTAGGTATCGTCCATCACGAACAATTCGGACGTGAGAATGTTGTAGTAGGCTGCGCCCAGTTGATTGCTCGACCAAATCATAGCTAAAATGATCTACGAAGAAAAATACAACTTGTATTTTTGTAATAGATATTGTTAAAATTCACACAATAAAAGCCATAAAATTCATTAATCTTACATACTTTTTGTTAAGGCGCAAATTTATCAATTTTCTCCAAGAAATCATATTACTACTATTTTATTCACAGAGAGCTAATATATTGTAATAATAAAAAATAAGTAAAATAATAATTGTGTGAAGGAGAAAATGAGAATGAGAAAAAATTTATCAAAATTATTTAAAACAGTTTGAAATAATTTTAGTGCATGAATTCGAAAAAATACTAGCCTCGTCTTTATCAGTAAAATTGTCAATTTGCATTGCAGAACCGTCATTGCTTGGTTGCTTTTGCACTGCAGCGATTGCCTGAGCTGTTGGAATACTAAACTCTTCTTCATCACTGCTATTTTCGTTTAATATTGATTCAAATTGCACTTGTCTAAAGTAATAAAAGTACATGCTGGCAATTAATTTTAAAAATAAGATGTAACAATATTTTTCTGATCATATATACACGTATACCGTAACTCATCTGTAGATGAGAAACTAAAAATATAATGCGATTTTAAGAAGACACGAGTACAATGAAAACATACACGTTAGCTAAAGAAGGGGTGGATGACAAAACATTCCTTGAGAAACCCGGCGAGCTCATTTTTTATTGTTTGTTCTGTGGACTTCAGATTCGAAATGCACGAACAATGCTATATGAAGTAACAACTACCTGAATTTGATTGTTAGTCGTGCGCCGATTTGGCGGCAAATTTCACACGAAGTATATTTAATATCTTTTTCTTCAGTTTTTAAAAGAAAAAGTAAAACGAAAAAATATAATATAAATAATTAAACTGTAAATGTTTAAATATAATACTACGTAAGACTCATAGTTCAGTTTTTTTATATGCATAATAAAAATATCAATAATTGTAAATATAATTGATATAATATAGTTCCTATAACTTTAATGCAATTTCTGCACATTTTTTTACCTGTTGAAAAAATGTGGGAAAAGGATAAAGAAAAAATTCACACATACTCAATAACAACATTATTCTTTGATTACATTACATGAGCAAATATCTGCAGTCGCCTGCAATTGTTACCTGTACATAATTACAAAATATTGCCCTAAACCTGTTTAAGTAATAAGTACCCGGTATTATTGATATTTTTCGCGACGCAATTTTATAACTGAATATAAAAACAATTTCGCGCGCGAAATGATGTAAGATTATGGTCTTTGATTCAGCTTTTGCTTTGTTTGTTAATACTTACGACATATATAAATAGTAAGTGGACGTATCAAGAATTGTATGGAACACATTTGGTTAGGAGTTAGATCGTGTTGTTACTTGTTACACATCATATATAAAATATTACTTGACATTAGTCTTCACGCGTACATAATGATTACCACGGTTGCATTATTACAATTACTGTTATATACATTCTTGTAAAGTACGGGGCTCTCGAAAAATATTTTCTAAATCGCATTAAAAAACCTATTTCTCTGTAAATTTTAATTATAAAATCTTATCAATTATAAAATCTCAATTTATAAAATTTCAAAAAATTTATAGCTTAACATTTCACATTTCATATATCTATTATGAAACATTTATATAACGTTTTTATATAGCTATCTTGCGGTAATTCTGGTTAAGATAAATATATCAAGTGTACAAAAATACATGAAGTCTCCTAAATTCAATATTTTTCATACAAAAAGATATATGAATCAGATCTTTTTTTTGCACAATTTTGTTAAGATCTTGAATAATCTTCAAGATCTGTAAAGGCCTTCTAACTTGGAATAGGCGGAGGTGATTGGGGATTGAAAGAAATAGGTCGATAGCTCTTCTCCCTCACGAAGGGCTGCACTCCGTTCAATACGAAACCGTTCATAGGGCTTCGCTCTTGTTTGATCGGCTGCACCGGGCTCTCGTCCTCCGAACTGACGGCTTCCTCGCTGCGTGCTGGGCTAGCCGACCTAGTTAACCGTTTCTTACTCTTTTCGCTCCGTTTCGACACCTCCTCATATTTCCTACTTTGGAATCAGCAGAGAACGTCACGACTCGCGACGAATTTCATCATCGCATGTTGCGAGTAAATTTCCAAAGTAACAATACATGTGAATTAACTTAAGAAAATAATTTTCCTATATAAATTATTTTAAAAATATCATATATATCTACACACATGTATGTGTATGTATTTTGTCCTTTATATTTATAAAAATCTTTTTTTAAAACAAACTCAAAAATCTTTTTATATAAGTCTCTATAAATAAATAACTAAATAAATAACTAAATAAAAGTCATTGATAATAAGACAAGTATAATATTAGTTTCCATCAAAAACTAATATTTTAATGGAGAGTCAATATTCTGTTTTTTGAAAAAAAAATCACTTTCGTTTGTGAAGAATCAATATTTCGTGAACGGTCGAACGCACGTGACGCCTCTGCTGTATTTGTCAACGCGCTGAACGCCAAGGCAAACACCTATTCTCCGCGAGTGGATCTAGTAAAATATTAACATAATCCTTATATAGATGCACGCGGTCGCAAGAGTGGAGGACGTTTGCCGGCGTTCCACGCATCGGAAGATAAACCAAGACGCAATATCGCGACGATCTTTCTTTTAGACGTAACGCGTTCGACTATTGTGAGAGATGCGTTGATTTATCGCACGATGCTCGCCACACCTATATATGCTCGCCCAATACGTAGTTAGAAGCGCGATCGTACTTGGCTTGGTTTAATGAAGCGTTGTTAAATGACTAGAGGTGTTAAGACTACTTACTTTACGCCCACCTTAAAACCTGTGCAGGATAAAAAATCAGAAAGCCAAGAATTAGTAATCGCACGATACGCGCGAGTTCTTATCTACGAGTGCGATTAGTAGATTTAATTACTACGTTTCTAGCGAACATTAATACTCATATTTATTAACTTGCAACGAAGACAAATTTGCAAAAGAAGCTGTCGCATCAAATATCAACTGTAATATCAAGATAACAAACTATTATATTATATTATGAGTTATGATTTATATTATGAGTTCTATTTATACTGAAGCAAGTATACAGAAAATAGATTTTAGACTTTAGATTGAAAAAAAGAAGAGATGTAAAAGTAAATTTGAAAGATTACATAATACATACTTTTCTAGATTTCTGAGAAAGAAATGATAAAAAATGTCTTTTATATATATAAAAAAAATAAAATAATTAAAAGTACAATTTTTAAACTAAATAATTTTAATATTTTTTACTTTATAAAATAAAATACAAGAAAAAAAATTCTGAGAACAAGTACAAGAAAAGCGTTATCATTTTTTGTAATCGTATTTGATTTTTATTTAACAAATTGAAAAGAGAGAATTGTTATATTGCTCGCGCTCACTTCAGTATAAGGAGTGTACCAGAAATCATAAATGTCATTCGAATCTCTACTCAAAACCTCCCTTTCAGGCATTATGTCCGTCGACAACAATATCATTTCGGGAAACATTCTCAGGAGAATCATTATCTCAAGCGGAAATCAAAGAGGCCAGATTATATCGAACGTACCTAGATCGAAGGGGTTTACTCTTGCCAGTTTGCCTGGAATGCGGTCTTGTGTTAGGTTGCGATAGCTCGCTGTCGCTGCTCGCTAAGGAAGATCTCGCCGCTACGGCCCCGTGAGCAAAATCTTTCCTGTTAGGTAACACGTTAGAGAATTATTCGCCATTAGCGGTTTCGTCTCGCAATCGCGGACTGTTGTATACGGGCGGCAGAGTCTGACATGGCCGCGAGCACGTGAGTGAAAGTGAATTCATAGAGACTCTTTGGAATGACGGGCTCTTCTCATATATACGTATTGCATAGTAGAGGAGACCTTTACCCTTCTGAACCCTTTAGTCTTAGTATTAAAACATTCATTTTCTTTCATTGCGCTCAAACATTGCACGGTGTATTACTTATGTAAATCTAAATACAAATGTAAAAATGAAATAAATCAATTTAAGAGAAACTTTTATATATTTTTATAATTTCTTTAATAAAAAAATTATTTTGAGCGTAAAAATATTTCCGATCTTTCGGAGAAAACTTATTCTAAAGGAAAATACGTATTAATTTAATTTTAATTCTGAGGCTCGAGAATATTATATCAAAAAGATTAATGTCGTTATTATGAAAACCACAATTTCGTTGTCATATTTACCTGTAATTGTCAGACCTAGGCGTAGAACTGAGATTCGCGGTTTTACCAGTGGTCGTGTGTGCATCCACAAAGACGGCCGAACTCTTGGGAATGTCGCAGACCACCTTGGGATGTACCGTTGTTTGCTTATATTCCAGGTGCGACGACGATTCATTGGGCGTCCAGTCATAATACTTTGGCCGGTAATCCTTGTACTCTCTCGGCTGTTGCTGCTGATGTTGTTGTTGTTGTTGTTGCCTAGAATCCGTGCTGGGCGCTCTCTTACGCAGATATTCGTCACTGCTAACACTGCTCTTTCGTATGGTCGCCAACTTCGTCGGTGGGACTGACGTCGGCGACGATGCGGATGATGACGGCGCGCCATCCGGATCCGCGCGAGATAATTGCGAGCTGTCCCACACAGTGGGCAAGCTACTAATAATTTCAATATGTTGATAAACAAAAGCAAACAGTTTACAATTTTTAAACCTAAAACTAGCAAAGAATTATTATATAAACGATTAAAAGAATTGTATTCATTTTTAAACAATTTCTAAATTAAACTATATCCATTAAAAAACAAAAAATTAAAAACATATTAAGATAATGTAGATATTCATAATCTATTTTTGGTCTTTTTCTTCATCCTTATTATTAGTCATTTCAATTTGAGAATAACGCTTTAAACACTTTTTTATACATTTCTAGGAGATATATGGAAAAGAGTTTTTTGTTTGAAAGAGTCAACGTATAATAGATTTCTTGGCATTTAACAGATATAAATCTTTAATAATGGACTTATTTTGGAAATAAAAATGTAAATGTAACTTTGATTATTTACCTCATATTCTCATCCATACTGTACAAGCGAAGTTGTTGTCTAATATTGGCCTTTTCTCTGGCACGTTTTCGTTGGAACTCTTCTTCCACTTTACGCATCGCCTCTAGTTCGCCTTTCCTTTGTCTTTCCTTGGCTTCCGCTTCCCGCGATAGCTTTTCCGCTAATCTACGCCTTTCGATCTGTCGCACAGTGCTCTGGAACGTGAATCTTCGACCTTTCGAATTATTCTTCAATTGTGATTTGGCCTCCGACGCAGCCTCTTTGTCATCCTGTAGATTTTGTTGAGTAGTGGGCGAAACGCTCCGTTGTTTCATTTCGGAAATATTTTCGCATGATTTCGAAAATCTATTGTTCACCTTTCCATCGCTCGTGAGAGGTTTATCTTTAAGAATGGCTGAGTTTTTGGATTGCGTCTCTTTTATATCTTTGTCAGATTTCCTAAATTCATCCACGCCGTTTTTACGATACTTCGGGCCGATATTGTTGCTGAAATTCTTTTCGCTGTCCATCACCATATTGCTCCTGTAATTCGAACTTTGAGATTGATATTGAGAATCGTTGGATTCGGGCAAATACATCACATGGCCGCCTGAAGCCAGATAAGAGAACGAGGGCGGCTTCATAATCATGGGAAAATCGCCGCGATCCTCCAAATCTTCCACCAAATCTTCGTCATCATCTTCATCGTCGAAACTGGGTTTCCAACCGGATGGTGAAGATCGCGTCGCGTCCGTGATCTGCGTGTGTTGTAGCGATGTCGGCGCGCTTGTCGACAGTAACCAGTTGTCATCGAGGACATCGCGAGTACGTTTCCTCTCGAGGTCCAACGGACTGAGCCCGAGAGCGCCCGATACTGATCTCTTCAGCTTCTGTAGCGAGTTGAAGGTCGAGCCTTCTTTGCTCTTTGGATCCGGATTGTATAGATACATGCGATTGTCGTCGCGCGGTAACGATAACGAGAACACGTGTGCTCTGGGTGGAAACTTGACGGGAGTCGGCATTGGTGGAGGCGAGTCCACGCCAGCATCGCTACTAGATTCTTCGCCCAAATCCTGCTGCGGCGTCCACGTAGGTCTTGTCGCCGGAGTTTTCAATCTATTGTTATTAGTATTGGTGCTGATGTCTAATGAATCATCATTAACTGCACCAGCATCGCCGGATATGCCAGAATCGCCTGATTTATCATGCGAACTTCGCGGGCCAAGAGCAATTAGTGGCGGAGGCGGCCTCGATAAACGTTCGATGCGTTCCTCAAACATCACCTGATATCAAATGTTTCGTGATCTCTTAACCGGAAATATTCCGTACAATTTATACGCTCTTTAATTTTTTGATTTGATAATTATATTACTTGCTAATTACACTAAAGTATTCTCTAGTTATTAATACATTCATCGTGTACTTACTGGAATCTCCTCGCTCGCTGTACTCATGTTTGGTCCTGGTGCTTCTAAGGCTGATAATAGCCTCCACGCTGCCGATGGTGAGAACCGCGGAATTTCCAACTGTTTCTTAGGTAACGTGGGCCGTAATTTTAAAGAAATATCCTCCATTCCGCTCTTGCCCTGACAATCGCAAATATTGTAACAAAAATCTCTTCACTCTTTTCGTTTTAAATAAATAACTATACTATATTATATAAACAATATTATATTATATAAACTTGTAATTTTATCGATATAATAAATGAAACAGAATATCACTCACATCATCTGTATAGTCGTGGCATTCGATCGATCCATTGACCTCTCTAGCTTGCAACCTGGACTGTATTTGCTCCATATGCTGGTCCACGCAATTTCGCGACTCATTCGACAATGCTTCGTCCATGCCGAAGTAGAAAGTCTTCGGGGCGGATTTCTCCAGCGATGGCAGTCTAGAGAAATGATTGAAAACGCGATATTTCAAATTCTCCGCGATAATTATAAACAAAGATATTAATTATAGTCATCGGTTATCGGCGCCATCAGAAAATTAATTGCTCACTTATTCGTATCGCCCGCATGAGACGTTCATTGATAAGAGAAATAATTAGAATGGCTTGAACGGATACGTGCGATCCGCGACTCACGAAAGAGATAAATCTATCCGAGATGCAAGAGAGCAACTTACACGTGCCAATTTTTCTCGCGCACGACTTCCTTGACTTCTGGTTTCCTCACGAGCTTTTCTTTGGATTCGTCCTTCTTCTCCATCGTCGTGGAAACAGGTTCGCAGGACCATCTCTTCTCGTCCGGTACACCATCAGTATTCCTAGCGTCGTTCTTCCGCCATCTACGATCGGAATCTTTCTCTTTTCCTTTCTCTTTGGCCTCGCTCGTTCGCTCGGGCGTGCTCTCCCTCCCGGAACCCTGCCCGCGAGAATCCGTCGTCCTGACGTAGGGTCTCACCGGACTCTCCGATCTGGTTCTCGCTGGCTCCGCCGTATTCTCATACTTCCGGCTCTTAGCCACGCTCTTTGCCCTTTGATAATCCTCGAGTAAATCTCTCCGTTGTTTCTCCGACAAGAACCTCTCTGCCGAAGAGCATTTCATCCCGTCCTTTGAATTTTTCCGAGGAGGATCCTTCGGATGAACCGCAGAGGATTTGTCAAATGTCGCCAATTTCTCAACGAGTCGTCTCTTTCCACCCGATGCTTCTGTTTGCCTTTCCTCCAGGTAGTTCTGGGTTTTTCCTAGATCGCGGGTGTTTTCTTTACGTTCTTCATACGTGAGCTTGTTTTCAGATCGATTACAGCGGTCGATCATCCGCCTCTCTTCAATAATTCTATTCTCGATCGCGCATTCATCGCGAGAGCTCTCTTCATTCTTCGCCGATCGTTTTTCCGGCCTCTTCGTCTCTTCGGTTTTCGAATCTTTAAATCGATCGACATTACTGTTACGCTCCATCAGATTCCCAGACTCTACTGCAGAAGAGGACCTACCGTTACAGTGGAGCTTGTTGCGCACCTTCCTGGCTACCTGCATTAGCTCCGCCTGGAACTCCGGACTGCTCATGCTTCTTTGCAACGTGTTCTTGCCATCAAAGATCCGCAAACGCCTCTGGTCGTCCCGGCACCAGCGATCCTGGAGATCGCGCCAGGCGAGCCTGTTCTCCTTGTTGGCAGCACGACCGTCCTCGCCTCGCCACTGTCGCTCGTTTTCCAATCCACTTCCCCCGCCGCCGCTGTTCTCGCAACGTTCCCCGACGTGATTCTGCGACGATGAAGACAGCCAGTTGACTTGCGCTCTCTTCGTTTCCGCTCGCGTCTTGAAAAGGCGCGATCGCCTCGGCGGTGGCTGAACTTCCTCCTCGCCGCGACAACCACCCTGACGATCTTGGCCAGATTCCGCATATCTGCAGGCAACATCGAAATGTGCTACTGATATTTTGAATACAGAAAAATCGGGATATTAAACTCGGTAGAACAATATTAAGAAAAATGTAGAAAAAAGTATCGGTTTTCTGTAAAATTAAACAATTAATTCTAAAAGAATTCAACATATATTATTCGAGATATTATTAATTCTAGAAAAGCTGTAGGATATCGGAGTGTATATAAATTAACGTTATCGAAGAATGAAGTTCAAGAAAAAAATAATCGACAACGCGTTAGCATTTCTCTACCTGTAAGAATCGGGGGACGACCTGTCGACGCCGTTCGACGGCGGCGCCGGTGCCTTATACTTCTTCTTGTTCCTGTACCGGCTCTCTCGCTCCCTGCAATCCCGCTCGGGATAATGCCCGTTTCCGCAATGCCGGTGCTCCATCGCGTGCTGATGCTGCTGCTTCCCGTTGCAACGCGCCGCCTCCTGCCCCGTCGGCGAGTATCGTAGATCGGGCTCGCTGCCAAACCTCTTCAGTTCCTGCATCTCGCTTTCCACGCAGCAGCCTATCTCGCTCCGATGGCAGCAACGTTGTTCGAGCTTCCGGCCGCGCGAAGCGCCGATATTGGACGCTGAAGTACTGCGACTGCGGAATATTCCTGGCTGAAAAGCGAGAGAGGATGAAATCCTAATTTTAAAAGAAACTTTGATTTCTCCATTATTCATTTTATTTTTGTATAAATATTTTTTTTCAGTGCCGGTAATCCAATGAGAGAAAAATGTGGACGTGATATTTATGCAGGGTGTACACTCAAATCTTATAAATAAATTCTCTGATTTTCCAAGTATTTGTGTTTAAAATTTTAGATAAGATATTTGTATAAATACAATTTTAAAATAAGTTCGTTTATTGTGAATACGTGAATTTTATATATCTAATATAAATAAAATATTTTAATATATTTCAAATCTAAAAAATTTCAAATTTTTTATTATATTTTTAAAATAAATATTTATGTATTGAAATAGATACTGGTGATAGTGAGGTTTTCAATACACAACATTAGCAGATAGCTGACCACTTACATATAATATAAAAAAATTATCAAAGTAACAATTTTTGAAAAATTCCCTTAGCTCAATAAAATTGCATGAGAATTCTCTGATTTTTAATAAAAATAGAATAAAACAAAAATCCGTGAGAATTCCAGGTTTTCCAGGAAGTATACCTTGTTATATGACTGTCATTAATAATAAAAGTTCATTAGAGAGCTCTGAAAGATATCTACGGGATCTAAAAGAATATTCTTTTTCTTTTAAATATTACATAAAGGTAGCACAGTAAAGTGTTACGCGCGTTTATTCTTAATACATTGTTGATTTACAGAACGTGCGCGACTTCCTTCTGATGCGCGTAATAAATGCTCTATAGAGAAGAGACCTCTCCTCTTCCCGTCACAAGCAGACGGATGAGAAACCGTCGTTTTTGTGCGAATACCGGCACAAAGAGTTCGATGAAGGTCGCGTGATACATTTTGCGAATTCGCGATGCGCAAGAAGTCATTCTGTAGAATATTCTTAACCGGGTTACTACGCGACGCATGGCGTCCGACCAAAAGACACGTACAAATTTTCAACGACTGCCTGCATTACCTGCATGAGAATTCTAGACGACGGAAACAGACTTCTTCGAAGACAGAAGGAGGACTGACTGTCCGAGATATAAAACCAGGAGATTGAACTAAAGAACTAGTGGGAATAAAAAAGTAATTTTTCGGACATAGAGATGGTTTTGTGGAGTGCGGACTTTCACGCCGAAGATTCGGAGCAGAAAATTTATCATGCTTTTCGTATACTTTCGGTTGCAATTTGCACAGTAATCTAAGTAATCTCGTTTTTTTATCTTTAAAAAATTCAATAGATATGAATTAAAAGAATAGATTGATAAAGTTGCACTGGAATCTTTTTATAAGACTGAATAATATCTGCTTTTATCTCTTTCGGAATGGTTGTTCGATCATATCAGGTGCGCATTGAATTCTCATTCGTTCCGGAACATTTTTACTCGCCGAATCAGAGCGGCGAGTAAAAATATTCTGAAACGATCGCATCATCAAGCGAATCTTTTCGTAGGAGTCTTCCAACGGAATAAGAGAAATTCCGTTGTCGAAGCAGAATGTAAATGAATGAGTATACAACAATATGTTTTAAACAGAAATGAATTCAGTCCCTGGATCATCCAAACAGGGTAACTAAAAATGATATGTATAAGGAACCAAATACAATATAATGTTTTAAAGTATAATATATACTAATTATACTACAAATTTTCCACACAATTGACTCTAATTTACTGCCATTATTATCATTATTATTATTACGAGCGCTACCGTTATTATCGCTAATTACCGCTAACAATGAAAATTATTAATCGACATAGAAAGTCGCGCTCCTGCAGAAAAATTTCAACGGACACAAGTGCAACGAATTAAGCGGCGACTCGTACACGAGAGCAGCATGATGGCACGCCACGTCATCAGCGCGACTCGAAAAGCCGCCGCGAATCCTTACCTTATTAAGGTCGTGCGGAAGCGTGAGGGCCGGAGGCCTGCGGCCGCTTATGGTTCCCCCGTTGTGAATGATGCTGCCATTATTGGTGGCGCGCAGCCGCTGATTGGGCGGCTCCGGCAGGACCTTGTGTCCCGCCGGTTGCTGAGGATGATGTCTCGTAAGCTCCCGAGGGAAGGACTGCGTCCACCCGCGTCTGCCAATCTCCTGCGACGGCCCATTGGACGCGCAGTATTGATGGGAGCTGCTGTTGCCCATTTCTATGCCGATCTGGCGTCTCTATGGAGTGCAGCACGATTCGCCATTCATCTTGTATCTGGAGAAGATCAGAAAGGGGGGACCAATTATCCAACATGTTTGCCTGAATATCCCATTGAAAGATACCGCGGCATCTAATTGGATCCGCGAAGTTGTGAATGTACCATGATGTTTAAATTGGAATTTTTATGTAAACAATAGCTAAGTACATATTTTTAAAGTGTAACGCCTGTTCAAGTAAAATATTACCTGGATACGTTTGCAACAAGCTTATATAAATGAATTCTAAGAAGTTTAATACTCTGGAAGAATGACTCTTGAATAAAACATGAAGATTACATATTTATTCAGTAGAAATGTGATAGCGGCAACTAATTAAGAGATAATTAGAATTTTTTAAAAATTGTTAAAAGGTGAGAAGAAAACAATAATTTTTAATTAAAATAAATTGACATTTTGAGAGTGAAAAATATACATGAAATAAAATATACTAAGTGGATGCAAATATTTATACAATGTTACATATCAGGTTTAAGTATTCTGTAAGATAATCGGATAGTCAATTAAGAGGACCACTTTGCAAACTTGTTCCAATTTCTCTTAAAACTTGTGTAAATGTACGCTTTTGCATATTAATTCGCTGGCGCTTTGCATATGACGATTAAGGGTGCAATTAAACGTTAATAAGTGTGATCAATTTGCAAATATATTGCACAGCCGGCCTTAAATTTCCTTCGATAAGACCGTTTTTATATAAAAAAAGACACGCCGGTATTAACGCTTGACATATCTAATTAATATCTTGTACGTGAAAAGCATATTTCATGGATCAACTTCATCCATAATTAATGAAAAATTATCTTTACAAATACATTGTGTGTTTTATTTATCTTGTCGTTTTCGGCGATTAAAGAGAGGGAAGAAAATCATACAAAAAATAGTATCAATTTTCTTCAATTTTATATAACGCGTAATATTTTCGAATGTTCATAAAAGGAAAAGAAAACACTATTGTCGATAACTTTCTAATATCTCGCGTGAGAGGCGAAGGATGGTGATCCGTGAGGCCATTGATGAACGAGAAGAGCGCAACGAGACGCTCCGAGAGGAACAAGAGGGATGGAACAAGAGGAGGGTAAACGCGCGCGAGTTGGCCGAACGATCTGGGCAGGCCGGTTATCTTACAGTTAGACGTGGTTTAACCTCTTGCGTTAGTCGTGTCGGGATGCGGGGAGAAAGAGAGAAAGAGAAACAGAGAAACAGAGGAAGAGACGGTTCGGGACGCGTCTTTCTAAAGAAGTTCTTCCATTCACCACCAGGTACAGGAGCAGGTGCCCAACCTGCACACGCGACCCGTCCGTGTCGATCGACCGGTAGTACCGCTAATCCAGGAATGAATAAGAGATCGCGAAAAGTCGCGGGGCACTACGTCGTTAAGGTAAACGAGTAGGGCGACTTTTATTAATGCATCTCGTATTCAACGGGCATGGAAGCGAATGGGAAATTGCTTTTCCGCGTATGCGTGGTCTCTCTCCTTCTCCCGTATCTCGCGCGATCAAATTGAAAATAAAGCACCGGATCGAATCGTTGCTCGCGCGAGTTAATATTCGCAAAAAATACGCGAGGCGAATGAGTAAAATTACACTCACGATCGTTCGACGGATGATATTCTCTTGATATCATCGATATCGGATGCAAGAGAGGACGATCTAGATCTTACTATATCTTTGCTTGATAAAAAGCATTGAAATCGGAGTTCGCGTTAGATGAAATCACTGGTTGAATATACGAATAGGGAAATATCAGGGAATACGAAGTGTAAATGGTAGCTTAGATATTCACCAACGTAATTACACTCTTTGCGTTTCCTGAGATGGAAAAGCTTCAACGCGTTTCACTTCCGCGTCTGTGACGCAGGTGAGGCAAGAGGGGCCGGATTGATCGATATCGTAGTCAGATCAGAGAAAAAGACACAGCGCGTTTCTCACAGTTTCACCTCCGACAATGTATTCTGAAATTCACGTAGTTCAGTCGCATTTGACGTTGACGTATGCAGTTTTATTCTTTCAAGAGTGATGAACGTAATACGATTAATTGCGCGAATCAATGCAAAACAATGCCCTATTTCACGGTAATGTTTATTTCATACAGTGCAAAGCTTGTATCATTTATGAAAACAATGCAACGTTCTGATATCAAAATGCTTTAATTTCGACCAAATTTCGTAATTTGTAATTTATCTCGTAACTTGCTGTATATAAATATACATGAATTAAATTGTTATAAGAATAAATTATATAATTTTTATAAATTATATAATTTTTATAAATTATATAATTTTTATAAATTATATAATTTTTATAAATTATATAATTTTTATAAATTATATAATTTTTATAAATTATATAATTTTTACAAAGCCCTGCAAAATAACTATTATATGACAGAAACAGAGAAAGAGAGAGCTGATTTTTCTTTAGCGATTATTTGAGCGGAGCGCAATCGCGCGGGAGAAAAATTCCGCGATGACACCTGGCAATATCTCACCATTCGCTCAGCATCATCAGCGTCATCGGTTCTTCGGCGGTTTCGCGCGCGATTGTCGTGCCGCGGCGAGAGGATTCTCCGGGGCACAAAGTGGCAAGTGATGCATGACGGATGGCGGCGGTTATGATAACTCGAGCGTAGGGTACCCGCGGGGGAAAGACGAAGGAGACGAGGGGGGAAAGGGGGAAGGGAGAAACGGTAGAAGGAAAAGGAGGAAGAGGAGGAAGAAAAGGAGCGCAGGGGGCGACGAAGCGCGAAGGGACCCAAGTATAGAGAACGGGGAACCGGGAGGGCAGGAGGGAGGAGGACGTTTGCCCCCTCGCGATGATCATCGCCGAGAGTCATCGAACTTGGAAGGATAGGAAGAACGATTCTCCGTCTGCCGTCTCTCGTCTTCGCGATAGCTCGCCTCGCTCGTTCGCTCGTCTAGGATAGAGGCAGGCAGGCAGGCAGGCAGCTGTATACAGCCCCGGCTATCTTCGAGGAACTCGAATCGAACCCGGACGATATACATACGCCCACGTGTCGCGATTGTCGGCACAAATCATGCACTTCCTGCTGCAAACGCGCCGTACAAAAATCCCGAAAGAGCGAGCACGCAGGCCGACAATCCGATCCGATTGGATGATTCGTTCTTTTCCCCTATTTTTTTCCGCGCTCATTTATTTATCAAATGAATCGAATCGACATCATCTTTCTTTTTTCCCCTCTCTCGTCGTGTGCGCAATTTATGCAACTGTGCAGTTTGGTTAACCGACGAGAAGATCAGGAACATCGCGAGTGCTCTCGCAAGAGAGCGGTCATTAGAGATTGGCTCCGCGCTCGTAATGGAAATATCATTCGCCGCATTTAAATCGTGGATTCGAGTGTGCGGAATAAAGACCGGGAGCTCTCGCTAGATCGGAAATGATACCGAGCCAAGAGTCGTTATTACATTCCTGGATTTGCAAAATGAGAGGGCGCGTATCTCCTCTTTCAATAGCAATGTCTCGCTCGGTATTACGCTCTGTCCCTCCTCGTGATAGCAATATTTCACCTTGTACAACCGCGCATTTCGCCTTCCAACAGTAACGTTTAATGCTCAGGTACAATTTTTTCTAGCTGAAAATAACGTGCAACTAGACGTGGGTGGCATCCGACTTTCTGAGGAACGCGTTCAGAGTTAAGCAGAATCATCTTGCTGTTAGAAAAATTATATAAGGAGAATTACTCGAATTATTTAAGAGAAAATATAGAAAACTGCATACATATACTTAGATATAATAATGGATTCCGTTATACTTCACAAACTATTTACGTACAAATGTAATTATACTTCGTCCTTAAACAGGAAACAAATAATTAATATAATTTGATTAAATAAAACTGATAAAATCTGTTCACAGCCGCAATTAAACCGATGCAATTAAACGTGCGATTCTTTGCAAAATAATATAAAAGAGACGCAGGCGTTCCAAGATCAGATACAATTTTCTCGCTCGGAGTGATATAACCACGTGTTCCATCATCCGCGGAGACCAATGTTCCACCCTGTATAATCGCGTCTACCGACAGGAAGGTTCTGTCTTGTAAGTCGCGGCGGCTGGACGCTCGTAAAGAACAAAATGCCAATCCAATTTCCCGGAAGGTCTCACTCAAGCAGGTCTTCCCTCTTTCTCCCTCCGCGATCGGTTAAGGATCCAGCTCTTCCTCCGCTCTCGGGGATCTCGCGGGCAGATATTCCGCCCGCTGGAATTTAACCGTTGCGCCCTCGGGCTCGGGAGGGACAACCGGTACCGGTTGCGCGAAACAACGAGAGACCATATCCCGATACATGTGTGTACGTGTGTGTAATAAAAGCCGGTCTAAATACTTCAAACGTGCCGTCGAGGTATCGTTAAGCGACACGCTATCGGATAATCGATGTTGGATCAATGTGTCGTTCTGTCAGTTTTGTATATAGTTGTAACGCTCGTTATCGCAACGCTATTTCTAAGCATCTATATATGTATAGGTTGATTAGAAAACAGCATTCAGAGAGTGTCAGCGATAAATTATCATGAAATATAACAACTATAAAATTTTGCATTGCGATAAATAAATATATTCTCTCCTGGAAATACGTAATACTGCAAGACAGTGTTCCTGGCCTGACCCTTGCGCAAAGAATCCAGAGCATTTTCTCACCTGGGCGCAGCGCTCGTAATGCGAAAAGTCACGATGCGGGTGTGAAGGAGATATTGTTTACACAATTCCGCGTAATGTAGCTTTCGCGTGCGTTTCGTAGACTGGTATTGATTTAACAAGCTGGTCCGATGGTGAAACATACAGCGTTTATCTCCGAGGGGGGGAGGCGGAAAGGCGGCGAAAAATCACGATATTCGCCGCGCACGGTGGGAAACAAAGGTAACACACAGGTGTTGTACCCACGGGGACGCTATCCCCCACACACAATGGCGTGTATTCCAACTTTCACATTTTGCACGAAAGTAATAACGTTACGATGCGCGCCGTCGCGTGAAAATCCTACCA